CTGCTAACCCAAAGCCTGTGCCTCCCTGGTGGTTTGAATTCAATAGCTGCTCCATGGGAGAAAGATGGGCAAGGCTTTCCTGTGCAATTTACGTTGCTGTTGTTAGGTGCCCTGTTGAGTCAAGTACAAATAACTCTTAACAATGCTGTGAACAACTAGATCCTGCCCTATCCTGTATCTCCTGACCTGAACCCTGCCCTATCCTGTGCCGTCCTCATCTCTAACACAACTGAACCCACCGCTGCAGTCACTGTGTCAATCCATCTCAGTAGGTGTCTTCCTCTCCTTCGCAGACCCTCCATCTTTCCAAACATGATGTCCCTTTCCAAGGAACAGCCTCACCTAGTGCAATTTATAGCCTCCCAAAGGTCAGCTGAGTTGGTTCCAACTCCGCAGCAACAGTTTGTTTGCTTAAGATACCTTCAGAGGTTTTCGTTCAAAAACTCACATAATTTTTGCATTCCACCCCAGGATATATTCATGTGTATTTCAATAAATCCACAAGTTTTTTCATCAAGCCATCAGACAGATGGACATTCGAGGATGAAAAGCTTATCCTTGTATCTTCAAAGTCCAGGAAGGGCACTTAGTTAAAGATACAGCATTAGGCCATTCTCTCAGAATTCCACTTTAACAAATGATATCAAAGAGAGGTAAGCAAGGGTAAAGCCTTCCTTCCTCTGCCTGATAACACAGTGGCTAAACAGCCCCCCTTCTGCAATGTTCTTCCCAAGAGGTCAACCCTGAGAAACTCCCCAACCTGTACAGACTCTCAATTGTACTCCTTTTCACCTAAGCCTGACTGCTGTCACCACACCAATTCTTACCTGAGCTTCACACCAAGAGAAGCTCATATACATTTCTCTCAACAACCTTGATATGATAATACACTGTCTTGTTTTATCATAAATGACTGAGTCCTAGGCTCTCTCTCTCTTTACACTGTAAGCTTTTGGTGCAAATATACATGTTTCTTATCTCTGTTCCTGTCAGTACTTTTGCCACAATACACGCTGAATAAAAGCTTACTGAATTGAATGAGTTGACTTGGCCCTTTTTTTCCTTGTTTTATTGCTAATATATTGTGCTACCAAGGCGAACACAGTTCTAAGTCACTCGGTGTTACACGCAAGAAAGATAGGCAACCTCTTCCCATGTGATTTGTTCTTGCTGTCTATTGTAAAGTTAGAACCAGCTCAGAAAAGACCTTCCAGTGGGTTTTCAGAGGCTGTAAATCATATTGGAGGAGGCTGCTCATCTTTCTCCCACAGAGCAGGTGGTGGATTCCAACCACTCACCTTTAAAGCAGATTAATTCACAACAGCCCAAATCAGAAACAGCTAAGATGCCCTTCAATCAGTGAATGCTTAACTGTGCCCTACCTAATGGGATACAACTCAGCAATAAAAAGACACAAAATTAATTTCTAGCCAAATAAGAGACAGGCCTATACAGTGATCAATGACATTAAGGAAGAATGCATTCCTTAAACAATCTACCATTAAAGATCAAAGAGGTAACATTCTCCCAGGGATAAAGCTCAGAAAGTGGAATAGGACAGAAGGACCAATGGAAATGGGAGCCATAGGGAGGGTGCTGTTACCAGGTGGGGATGATAATCAATACCAAGAGACATAATGTGTATAAACTGTTGAATGGAAAACCAATGTGCTCTAAACACTTTCACTCAAATAATATTAAAATTTTTTGAAGGCCATCAACTACTCACATGTAAATTCAAATTACAACTAGGGAGGGTCAAGTCAAATCCACAGGAATTAAATTTTCACCTTCAGTCTATTCTACTTGTATATTTAAAAACCAACTCAGAAACAGGTTTGAGGCCTTGAACACCAATGAGCAAAGACCAGATGAGTGGTGGGAGGATATCAAGAATATCATCCATGAAGAAAGCAAAAGTGATTACAAAGACAGAGGAAGAAGAAAAGACCAAGAGGGGTGTCAGAAGAGACTCTGAATATTGCACCAGAGTGCTGAAAAGCCAAAACAAAGAGAACAAGACATCAAGGAGCTGAACAGAAGACTTCAAAGGGCAGCTCAAGAAGACAAAGCAAAGTATTAAAAAGAAATGTGCAAGAAACAAATCAAAAGAGCCATATTTGCTTAGCATTTCTTAAGCTGAAGGAACTAAAGAATAAATTGCAGCTTCAAGTTGCTTAAGGATGCTTTGGGCAGAATACGAAATGACATAGGAAACATTAAAAGAGGATGGAAGAAGTACACAGAGTCACTGTACCAAAAAGAACTGGTTGACACAGAAGAATTTAAAGAAACAACAATGGTGATGAAGGAGGAAGTCCAAACTTCTCTGAAAGACCTGGCAAAAAAAGAACACCCCAGGAACTGATGGAATACCAATTGACATATTTGAATAAACAGATGCTGCCCTGGACATGCTCACCAGGTTGTGCTAAGAAATGTGGAGGACAACCTAGCCAACTAAATTGAAGAGATTCACATTTATTCTCATTCCAAAAAAATGTGACCCAACAGAGTATGGAAATTATTGAACATTATCACTAATATCACACACAATCAAAATGCTGCTGAAGACTATCCAAAAATGACAGGGAAAATGTATCGACAGAAACTACCAGAAAAATAAGCTGGATTTAGAAGAGGTTGTGGCACTAGAGACATTATCACTAATGTCACATAGATCTCGGCTGAAAGCAAAGAGTACCAGAGGAGTATCAATCTGTGTTTCATTGACTATGCAATGACTATGTGGATCACAACAAACTGTAGCTAACCTTGAGGAGAATGGGAATTCCAGAACACTTGATTGTCCTCATGAGAAACCTATACTCAGACCTGGAAAAATCATTAGAACAGAACAAGGAAACAGTGTATGGTTCAAAATCTGGAAAGGAGTGCGTCAGGGATGCATCCTGTCTCCATACCTTTTCAATCTATGTGCAGAACAGATCACTGGGGAGGCTGGGCTTTATGAAGAGGAACGTGGCATCAGGATTGGAGAGACTTCTCAACAACCTGCATTATGCAGACAATACAACCTAGCTTTCTGAAAGTGAGGTGAACCTGAAGAGCTCGCTGCAGAGGGTCAAGGACTGCAGCCTTCAATATGGATTGAAGCTCAAGAAGACAAAGATTCTCACCACTGGGCCAACACAAGAGCTCAAAGAAATCAGTTCTTCTTTCATCCTTTTTTCTTTTTTAAGTTGTGATTTTAACAAAAGTTTACTGACAAGGTGGATTTTCATTCATTCATTGTTGTATATTTTCCTCCCTTTCCCCTACCCCCATTCATTTTTACTTCCATATTCATTCACTGTTGCACAATTTCCTCTCTCCCTCCCCTATCCCTCCCCTAGTCTACTTTTCAATGTACCTCTTATTCTGGACTGTTGTCATACAAACAAGGCCTAATCATATTCCTTTTTAAACAGTTCTTTCCTTCATCTATTCCAATGCAGTGCTCATTATCGATCTCTTTTTTGCCTAGTTTCCCCCAACTCCTAATGTCAGTCGGGTTTTTTAACAGTGGTCTTATGCAATATTTGTCCTCTTGTGACTGAGTTATTTTACTTAGCATAATGTCCTCCAGGGTCACTCATGTTGTGTAACTGTTTTCATTCATTCATTATTGCACATTTTTCTCCCTATGCCCTGTATTTCACTTTGAAAACAATCATTCATTGCTGCAAAATATTGTGTAATGTTTTATGAGTTTATTGATTTTCAGTGCTGTGTAGTATTCCATTGTGTAACTGTACCAGAGTTTTTCTATCCACTCATTTGGGCACTTCGGTTGTTTCCGTCCCTTTGATATTGGGAATAATGCAGCAAGATATACATGTGTGCATATACCTGTTTGGGTGGCAGCTCTGGTTTCTTTATGGTATACTCTTAGTAGCAGAATTGCTGGGTAAAACTATATTTCGATGTTGAAAAAGGAAAATAAAAATAAAATAAAATAAATAATAAAATCAAATCAAATCAGTTGTCCCAAGGTAGATGAACTGATTTCTGAGTTCTTGATTCTTCTGTCATCCTTATTCTTTGTCCAACTCTATGATGTATAGCAAGTGACTGAAAGGGTATGCAGCAGGCACACCCTAGTCCTCAAATGGACATCACCGCATCTCAATAATAGAGTAGTGAGAGAAGATCTTCACCCTGAAACCCACAGCGTCCCTTTTCAGCAGGAAGTAACTAAGAGAATACGCCATCCCCTTTTCCTTATGACTCAAGGTGAAGTCTCTCTCAGGGAGGAGTGATAGGGAATGGCAAAGGACACACAGACAAAGAACATTAATCAGAACTGGCTTTGACAAGCACTGTGGCATTTGGACAAGAACAGACTGGGAGGAGGGTAGAGAGAATAGTGCAACAATGAATGAATGGAAACCCAAAATCTCTGTAAATGTTTATGAAAATTAATAAAATATAATTATAGAAAAAAAATTTGTAGAATCCTGACTACAGACTTTCCCAGTGCCATATGTCTTCTGATATTCTGACTGCTGGTACCATGAGTATTGATTGTGGATACAAGTTAGATGAAGCTGTTGATTGTTTTCAGAGAGATAAGTCTATTGACATTGAGTTTGGTTTCTTTCTACACACATATGTAAAATTGCCAAAAAGCAAGTAAAACTGTTGACATATGAATAAGGGCAGTGGACTGTACCAATGCCAATTTCCTGGTTTTGATATTGCACTCTAGTCATGCAGGATAGTCCCATTCGGGGTAAATGACTGAGGCATACACAAGACCTTCCTATGCATTTGTGGCCACTTCCTATGGCCCTATAATTATGTCAAAATAACCACAAACACAAAATACAGGTACATTTCCCACTGAAGTCAACTGTCCATCTTCTTGGATGTGCAGATGATGTGGCTTTTTTGATCCCTTTTTTAAAGACAAAAGACAACCCAAGAACAACAAACCCAAGTTTGGCTTCAAAGATTCCTGACACAAACACAACTGTCCATCTACTGTGAGTACTCACCAATAGTACAGAATATAATTAGTATCAGGACTTGTATTATTTCCAGGGAGCCAAGAACACTTCATGTAATTCAGATTGTGCCAAATGCATTGCAGCTCTGTCACAGCAGACTCCGGATCACCTATGAGACACAGGCCAAGAGTTTAGAGCTCTCCTTTCCTTAGAACTCAAACCAGCCAACTCGCTCAGAGTGGCTAGTGAGGGTATTTCATGTTGCCTTCCAAAAATGCCAATGCCTTTCCCCAAAACAAAATCCAGGACAGAGAAAACCCAAATTTCACCAGCTCACAACTTTGATAACAAGAAACCATCTTTGCTATCTCTAGGGGACCCTATCACTGTGTAACCCCAGCTGGAGAGAGACTAAAAGTTAAATACTATTTTAATCATAAGCTGTCCCAGGCATCCTGCCACCCTTGGGTCTTCAGGCTGTGACCACCCAACAGAGGCTGACCGCTGTGAGATATGGAACTTGAACTATCTCAAAGCGATGGGGACTTTAACTTTCTGTCATATTTGTGAGATCTCCTCCCACCTCCTTTTCTTCTTTTTTGCATTCCCTTTCCAGGAGGACTCTTGGATGACCAGAGGGCTCCCTTCTAGTCCATTACCAAAACCCATGATGAAAGGTGCTCTGGTGGCTTGGAGGTAAGGAGATGTGCTGCCAATCTAAAGGCAGATTGTTCAAATTCACAAGTTGCTCTGTGGGAGACAAATGGGGAATTTCCACCCGAGCAACCTACTGTAGCTGAAAATCTGGTGGAAAGTCAGCGGAGTCAGTTCCAAACTGACAGTACATAACAACCACTAATATGGCGTAATACGTAATATGATGGGCTGCTAACAAAAAAGGTCAGATGTTTCAATCCACCACTGGCCCTGTGAGATAAAGATAGGCAATCTCCTCCTGTAAAGATTTACAGCCTCAGAAGGTGGCTACAGGTCAGAATTGACTTGATGACAGTGAGTTTCTCTTTTGATCAATGCTGACATAAATCTTGTATTAAAAATTAAATGAGTCCATCAACAAATAAATGGATTAGCAAAATATGGAATGCACAAGCAGTGGGAAAACTGCTCTACTATAAAGATAAAGGAAGTTCTGATAATTCCAAAACATGGATGAACCTTGAAAACCTTATGTTGAGTCAGGTGCAAGAGGTCAAATGCTGTATGATCTCATTTCAGCAAATATATAGAAACCAATAGTTACCAGGGGTGAGAGGGCAGGGGAAAGTGGGAAGGATTTTTTTTTAAGGCAGAATTGGGTTCATGTTGATGGTGGAATGTTTTAGAGGAGGATAATGGTAATGGTGGTACATGGGGGAGAAAATTTAATCAGTGTCACTGAATGGCAAATGTGGAAGCTGTTACGTTGGTGAATATTATCACCACAATGAAAAAAATGTAAATCAATATTGCTCCCAGAGCAAGTCTGGAGAAGAGCAAGCATTAACTACTAACAGCTGTCTACCACTGTGATTTTTAACCTCTTGCTAAAAAGCTTATTCCAACTCAAAGAAAAACAATATAATAGTGAAGGTCTTCCCCTAAGGGTTTCCAAGGCTACAAATCTCTAGGGAAGCAGACCAGTCCATTTCTCCCCTGTAGAATGCCAGGGGGGTTCAAATCACCAGGCTTTTGGTTGGCATCAAAGTGTTTAACCACATACCACTAGAGCTTTCTCAAAACTCAATGCCATGGAGTCTGAACTGACTCACAGTTGGCCCTCCACTGGCTTTCTGAGGCTATTCATTGCCCAGGAGACCGTCCATCTTTGTCCCAAGGAGTGGCTGGTGGATTTAAACAGATGCGGAAGTATAGCCTTTGGGTTAGGAGTACAACACCTTATGGACTATGCAGGGCTCTAAAAATCTTTATGACCTGAAATCTCCACCCTCTGTTTAAGCCTTTTGCAGTTAAGGCATCCCATCTCTAAATTAAATGCTTCAGCATTACAAACGCCCACATGCTATCTAGTGAGCCTTTCAAAAAAGCTGCTGTGTGGCTTTGGGTAAGTATATTGACGTCTCTGAACCTTTATCAGCTCCGTCATGTGTTAAAAGGGCTTGATACGCTAGGATTAGACCACAGAAATGTCACAATTGTCACAGTGGTTATTTGGACAACACTTGACCTTGGGCTGCTAACCAAAAGGTCAGCAGTTCAAATTCATCAGCTGCTCCGTGGGAGCATTTACATTTACATTTACAGCTTCAGAAAACCAAGGGTACACTGTGGAGCCATCTGCAATCATTTTCCCATTTGGGTTTTGTCAGTCTTTGTAAACTCCTCAAGGAATGAAAATGCCATGCTCCCAGGCTTCCTATACTTCATATACTTTTTTATGAGTGGAGTGTGGGTTGAGGGAACAGTGTGGAGCGCAGACTGTGTCATGCTAAGGTCTGGAGGTGAGAGATGGGAAAGGGCAACCCCGGGGCAGCATGATGGTAATGGAATATACAGTATTTACTCTTTACCATGCATCACTCATTACAAGCACCTTACATATACAGACAGTCTCCCAGGTGAAGAAAGCCCAATTTACTAACAACTCCGGCTTGTCCTTGAATATTGTGTAAGTCTGCCCTCTCTTTAAAATGACTGGCCCTGCTAAGTTCTTGACCACAATCCCCTTCACTTGTTGAACCTACATCTTTTAAAACATTGAGAAGATTTCTGCCTTGCATTAACTCACTCACTCACTGGCTTCTATTCCAACCTTATAGGGCAGAGTAGAATGTCCCCACCAGGTTATCCAGGTTCTAAATCTTTATGGGACCAGAATGTCTCATCTTTCTCCCTTGGAGGGACTGGTGGGTTTGAACTGCTAACTTTAGTCCAACACATAACCCACTAGGTTTCCTTGCACTAAAACCGAAACTCACTGCTGTTTTCCAAGTCATAGTGAGCTTTCATCAGACTTTCAAGGCAATAATTATTTACAGGAGGTGGCTGCCCATCTTCCTCCCATGGTGGGCTCAAACTGCTGACTTTTGGGTAAGCAGCACAGCATGTAACACCAGAGCTCCTTCCTTGCACTAAATTTACTGCCATCAAGTAGGTTCCAACTCATAGTGACCCCCCATCAATCAGGTTTCCACGGCTGCTAACCTTAACAGGAGGAGGAGGCCCATCTTTCTCTCGAAAAGCTGCTGGTGATTTCAAACACAGAGATGCATGGCCTTCTGGAAGTTAGCAACACACCATGTTATAGACTATGCCACTAGAGTTCCTGAAGCTTGCACTGAAGCGAGGTTATAAACTGTCTACTTACCCATAAGTTCTTAAAAACTTATTTAAAAACAGATCCCCTTTGTATGTGTATATTTATTTATTTAGACAATCCTCTCAACAATTCTGGGAAGTAAGTACTATGTTTTCCTGTTCTCCAGATGTTGTGAACCAGGGAGTAGGAACCAACTCACAGCTGCTCCTCCAGCAGGTTTTCAGAGGCTTTAAATCACACTGGAGAAGCAGCTGGTAGATTCGAACTGCATGTTTTTGGGACTGCAGCACAGCTTCTTACCACCAGGCCACTAGAGCTCTGTTTTATAAATGAGGAACTGAAATACAGAATAAACACCTACTCCCATCAAACTGATTCCAGCCACAAGCAATCCTGTTGCACAGGACATAACAGCCCTTTGGATTTCCAAGGCTGTAGATCCTTCCAGAAGGAGACTACCTTGTCTTTCTCCTACAGCATAGCTGGTAGCTTTAAATAGCTGGCTTTTTTGGTTATCAGCCAGTATTTGTGAGGACGGTAAAGGACAGAGTAAGACTGAAATCTACTGCTTATAGTGTCACTATGAGTTGTAGCTGACTCGATGACAACATGCTTTAACCAGTGCCTGGGCTCCTTTGAAATACAGAGAAGTTAAGCAATCTACCTAAAGTCACAAAAAGTAATAGGCAGACTTGGGATTAAACTTCAAAGAGGTCAGTAGCCCTGCCCAAATCAGTATGTGCTATGCCCTGCATGTAACATTAAGAGCCAGAAGGACACTGGGTGATAATGGGCAAGGGGCAAGTAAGAGATCTCACGATCAATCTCATTATCTGACCAATTTTACTAGGGAGCTCTCATGACCTGATGGGTAAGGAGTTGTGGTGCTCACCCAAAGACAGTTTTAATCTACCAGCTGCTCCTCAGAAGACAGACAGGCAATCTCCTCCCATGCAATTACAGGCTCTGAAAACCTGCTGTAGGGTCAGCGGTGAGTCAGTTCCCACTCAATGGCACGCAACAACAAAATTGGCTGGAGGGCCAAGTAGGAGTCAGAACCAATTCAACAGCAATGAGTGAGTCCAGTGTGGGAACTAGGTCAGCGTGCCCATTTTTCCTTTCTTAACATTTTTCTCACATAGGTTCTGTAAATCAAATCAATCTCCATATAGAGCAAGATAGTGGTTTTTTATTTTCTCTTTAAAGCTCTGAAGCTGGAATCTGAGGTTCTAGTCTTGGTGCTGTCTCTTGGGGCCTAGGGCAAGATGCTTCAGTTCTCTTCCTTCTCATAAAACCTCAAACTCATAGCTGATGAGTCCATTCTAAGCCAAAGTGACTTTCCCTAGGGTTCCAAGGCTGAAAACCATAAAGGGAGGAGATTGCCCATCTTCTACTGTACAGCCACTGATAGATTTGAACTGCCAAAGATGTGTGGTCTTTTAGTTCACAGCAAATGTTAAGGATGAGGGTAATACTATGTGCTGTCCTTATTTTCTAAGGCAAGCGTGATTAAGTTCAGAGGTGGAGAAATTTGTGTGTGTTTGTGTGTTTTCTCCAAATTATTAAGAGCTACATTAGTGGTAAGAATCTGTGCTGCAAACACAAAGGCATACAGTTTGAATTCATCAGCTGCTCCACAGAAGGATGGACAATCTCCTCCCATGCAATTACAGCCTCTGAAAACCCACTGGAGAGTAAGCTATGGGTCAGTTCCAATTCAATGGTATACAACAATAATAACAAAAGTATCAGGTATCATGCTGTGAGCTCCGCAAAGACAGGGATGTACTTTATCACTGTGTCATGAGCACCTAGTCCAGAGCCTGACTCTAATTGTTGCTGTTGTTAGGTGCTGTCAAGTATGACTCATAGCAATCCTATGAACAACTGATCTAAACTAATCAGACTCTAATCAAATATTTAAGAATGGAATACTATGCAGCACTGAAAAACAAGGAACTCATAAAACATTACACAACATGGGTGACCCTAGGGGACATTATGTTGAGTGAAATATCTCAGTCACAAAGTGTAAATATTGCATAACACCACTGCTATAAAACAAGACTGACATGAAGGGTTGGGGGGAAACTAGGAAAACAGGGGGTAGATAATGAACACTGCATTGGAACAGATGAAGGAAAGAACTCTTCAAAAAGGAATACATGATTAGGCATTTATCATTTGTATGGCAACAATCCAGAATAAGAGGTGCACTGCAAAGTGTACTTGGGGAGGGAGAAGGGGGTAAGGGAGGAAACTGTGCAACAATGAATGAATGTTTTAAAAAATAAAAGAAAGTTAATTGGGGGAGGAAGAAAAATGTGCAACAGTGAATTAATGAAAATCCAATTTTGAACTTTCGTTATAATCAACAATCACAATTAAATTTTTTTTAAAAATCAGCAAATAAACAAAGAACATCAATAAGAACATGCATAATTTGGATTCATCCTCTAAAGAACAAGAAACAGTGTGTTAAATTGTTACCTTCAGGGGGTGAGATGCACTTTTCCACCAAAAACTTAGGCTGGTCGCTCTCATTGGTGCTGCATTGGGTCCCTACTTGGAGACAGATCCTCTCATTCAAGGGCACCTCTTTGGAACGATGAGTTTCTGGAGCAATTTTCTAAGTTTAGGAGATAAAAAAAAGGCATTGCAGTAGCAAGTACACAGAAATAGACTTAAATGTCCAAACAGTAGCATCTCAAGAGTGTGTGTGTGTGTGTGTGCGTGAAGGTAATTATCATATGGTATAGATAAGGAGTTAGCAACAGGACTGATTGTGTTCTTCTCACTTAGGGACCTCTTGGCGATGTCTTCAGGCATTTTAGGTTGTCACAGCTTAGGAAGGATGTTCTAATGTCCTCTATTAGGTAGAAGTTAGACACCCTGCAAAATATCCCACACTGTGCAAGATAGTCTTCCACAACAAAGAACCATCCTTCCCTAAACGGCCATCAATGAAAACTGCTAAACATCACTACAAAGCCAGAGAAGAAAAATCCAAAATAGATGTGAGAAGAGATTCTGAAAATTGCACTAGAGCATCGAGAGGCCAAAACAAAGGGAAGAGATGCTGAAGTAAAAGGGCTGCATGGAAGATTTCAAAAGGCAGCTTGACAAGACAAGGCAAACTACCCTAATGGAAAACATGAAGAGACCTAGAATTGAAGAATAAAAAAGAACTAGCTCAGTATTTCTCAAGCTAAAAGAACTGAAAAATTCAAGCCTCAAGTTGCAATACTTAAGAGATAACATGGGCAAAATCTTGAATATCCAGGAAATATCTGAAGAAGATGGAGGGAATATATAGAATCACTGTATAGAATCACTGTATCAAAAAGGATTGAGCAACACTTGACTATTTCAGAAAGTATCATATTATCAAGAGCCAAAGGTAAGGAAGAAAGAAGTTCAAGCTGAAGGCATGGCAAAAAAGAAGGCTCCAGGAATCAATGGGAGACCAAATGACACATTTCCAATGACAGGTGCATCCCTGGGCATTCTCACCGGTCTATGCCAGAAAATTCAGAGGGCAGCTACCTGGCTGAGTGACTGGGAAAGGTCTATATTTGGTCCTATTTCCAAGAAATGTGATCCAACAGAATGTGGAAATTATTAAACAGTATTATTAATAGTACATACAAGAAAAATACTGCTGAAAATCATTCAAAAATGGCTAGAACAGTGCATATACAGACAACTGCCAGACATTCAAGCTAGATTTAGAAGAGGCCATTACACCAGGGATATCACTGCTGGTGTTCGATGGATTCTGGCTGAAGGCACAGAAGAATGCTATTTGTGCTTTATTGACTATGCAAAGGCATTTGACTGTGTCAATCATAACAAAGTATGGCGAATATTGAGAATGGGAATCTTAAAATATTTAACTGAGCTTATATGAAACCTATACCTAGACCAAGAAGCTATTAAGCAAACAGAGGAAGGGAACACTACATGGTTTAAAATTAGGGAAAGTGTGCATAATGGTGGTATCCTTTCTCTATACTTATTTAAGCTATATGGTGAGCAAATTATTCGAGAAGCTAGACTCTATGAAGAAGAATGTGACATCAGGATTGGAGGAAGACTCATCAACAACCTTTGTTATACAGATGGCACAACCTTGCTTACTCAAATTGAGGACCTGAAGCACTTGCTGCAGAAGGTTAAACAACACAGCCTTCAATCCATAGGCAACATCATGATAGAGGGAGAAAAGAATGAAACTGTCAACAACCTCTCCAAAGTATTGAGGAGCAATGATGTCAGTCTGAAGATTAAGGTGTGCCTGATTCAGGCGATGGTCTTTTCAGTCACTTGCTATGCATCAGAGAGATGGATAAAGAATAAGGATAACAGAAGAACTGATGCCTTTGAACTGTGGTGCTGCAGGAGAGTACTGAGTATCCCACGGACTGCCAAAGAACAAATTGAAAAGAACAGCTTTGGAGAGGTGCAGCCAGAGTGCTCCTTGGAGGCAAAGATAATAAAGCTTCGTCTCGCATACTTGGGGCATGTTGTTATGTACCACTGAGTTGGAACTGACCCAAAGCTGATCCTCCGGTGGATTTTCAGAGGCAGTTAATTGCACAAGAAGAGACTGCCCATCCTTCTCCTGCAGAGCAGCTGGTAGGCTCGAAATATGTGCCTTTGGGATTGCAGCACTGCTTCTTGCCACTAGGCTACCAGAGCTCTGGGCAGAGTTCATGCTAGGAGAGTTCATTCCTCAGAGAGAGATACCATGCTTGGCAAGGTGGAGGGACAGCAAAGAAGAAGACCCTCAACCAGGAGGGCTGTCAGAATTAACTGCAACAATGGGCTTGAGTGCGTTAGAGACTGTGAGGATGGCACAGGATAGGACAAGTTTCACATGTGTTGTTTCTAAGAGTCATACTCAACATGACGGCACCTACCAACAACAAAGTTTGCCAGTGCAGCTACTGAGCAACCCTGGTACAGAGAAAAGACAATTCCATTTTCCTCATTTTCAAATGTATTCACAACATGCTAACATGCCAACTGTCTGGAATCAATTTTGAAAGAAGCACAATACAGTGATAAAAGTTCAATGCCATCAACATGGTAAAAAAGGAAAGACAAAAGATCAAGGTGAAAAGATGGCTTTAAGAATCCTGTAACCGTGATCAACTCTATGCAAAGGGGTATCCTTGTGTGATACAAATGATTAGTTGTTCAACTGCTACCCGAAAAGTCCACCAGAGGCTCTTTTGGAGAAAGAGACCAGGAAGAAAGGCCTGATAGTGTACTTGTCAAAATTAGTCACTTGAAAACCCTAGGGCATATAGTTCAACTCAGACACACAAGGATAAAGAGTTGTGCTGCCAACCCAAAGGCATACAGTTCAAATCCACCAGCTGTTTCACATGGGAAATATGCACAATCTCCTCCCATGTGATTTACTGCCTTTAAAAACCTACTGGAGGATCAGTGAGGAGTCAGTTCCAACTCGATGGTACATGAAAACAGCAATAAGGGAGAAGAAGTAAAGAAGTGTGGAGGGGAGGAGGAAAGAGACTGTACTGAACACCTTTCTGGAAAGTCTGACTAGTGGGTTAGTTTATAAACATAGACATAAGAATGTAAAAATTATAAAAAAAAGTCTTAATATCACATGCAAGCAAAATATTTAAGATTATCCAAAACTGGCTAGAACAGTACATCCACAGAGAATTGCCAGAAATTCAAGCTGGGTTTAGAAGAGGCCTTGGTACAAGGGATATAACTGCTGATGTCAGATGGATCTTGGCTGAAAGCAGAGAATACTAGAAGAATGTCTATTTGTGTCTTATGGACTGCAAACACATTTGGCTGTGTAAACTGTGGCTAACACTGAGAAGAATGGGAATCCCAGAGCACTTAATTAATTACATACAAAAACGATACCTAGAAGTTGTCATCCAAACAGAGCAAGGGATCACTGCATGGTTTAAAGTACAGAGTAAGTACATCAGGACTGTATCCTTTCTCTATTCCTATTCAACTTTTATGTTGAGCAAATCACTCAAGACTGGACTTTATGAAGAAGAATGAGGCATGAGGGTAGGAGAAACTCATCAACAACCTGCATTATGCAGATGACATGACCTTGCTTGGTAAAAGTGTGGAGGACCTAAAGTGCTTGCTGCAGAACATCAAGGACTACAGACTTCAATATGAATTTCATCTCAACATCAAGAAGACAAAAATCCTCATTAGTGGACCAATAGACAAAATTATGAGAGTTGGGAGAAAAAAAATGAATTTGTCAGTGATTTCATCTTACTTGGATCTACAATCAACACCCTTGATACCAGCAGTCAAGAGAGGACATGTGTTTCACTGGAAAAGTATGCTGTCAGGGACTTCTCCAAAATCCTGAGCAGCAATGATGTCATTTTAAAGACCAAGGTGCACATGATTCAAGCTATGATTTTTTCAGTCATCTGCTACGCATCAGAGAGCTGGACAATGAGTAAGGATGACAGAAGAAGATCGATGCTTTTCAGTTGTGGCACTGGATAAAGAGTATTCAGTATCCCATGAACTTCCAAAAGAATAAACAAGTCTTATCTTGTTGAAAATGGACTCCTTAGAGCCAAAGATGGTGACGATTCTTCTCATACACTTTGGGAATGTTGCTAGAAGGAGGTATTCCTTGAAAAAGGACATACTTCATGCTTGGAAAGGTGGCGAGTTGGAGAAAGAGAGGAAGACCCTGAATGAGATGGATTGGCATAGTGACTTCGGTAACGGGCTCAAGTGTGGGGTAGATGAAGAGGATGGCAAATGGTTCAGATTTGTTTTTCAAGGTCTCTATGAGTCATACTTGACTCAATGGCACCTAACAACAAACAACAACCTAAGCCCTGGTAGTACAGAGGCTTACACATTGGGCTGCTGACAGAAAAATCAGTGGTTCAAATTCACCAGCCACTGCAGGAGAAAGGTGAGGAAGTCTGCTCCTGTAAAAATTATAGCCTCAACACTATGCTGAGTGAAATATCTCTGTCACAAAAGGACAAGTATTGCATAGGGCCATTGTTGTAAAACGGGACTGACATCAGGATTGAGGGAAGACAGAAAAGGAGGGGAGGAACAATGTATAGTGCATTGAAACAGATGAGGGAGAGAACTGTTTAAAAGGGATATATGAGTGGGTATTCTTGTCATTACAGAAGTCCAGAGTGAAGGCTGCACAGTGTAGTGGCCTTGTGGGGGGAGGGACTGCATAACAATGAAAGAGTTGTTCTTTTTCTTTTCAAGGAGAAGAGTGAATTAGGGGGGATGGAGTAAGCAGGGAGAAAAGTGCAACAATGAATGACTGGAAACTCTAAGTCTCTGTAAACTTTCATTAAAATTAATAAAAAATATAGTTTCTGAATCCCTATGGGGTGATTCTGTCCAATTCAAGAACAGTGGGCTTAGATACATACAGTCGGTGTATCACATTCATATTTGGAAAAGTAGGCAGGCTTTGAGGAACCACAGAATACGAACTCTGAGGTAGCCTACCAATGGAAATCAGCAGTCTAGAAATTGTGATAGACAACAATGAGAGCTAAGGACCCTTTCAGAAATTACTATTTCCCAAGATGAAAGAGTTGCAGTAATTAAGAATGG